CTACGGCAATGCAGCTGTTATGATTTGTGGTTCAAATCAAACATGCTGTGATAATTCAATAAGTGTATGTATTGGAAATGGTACGCTGTGTTCAATTGGAAGTCAACTATGCAATGGTCTCTGTTATAATCCACAATCGCAATATTGCATAGGTGGTAACAATACTATTTATTGTACCAGTAATCCCTCTTCGCCCAACTGTCCTATTACCTCTACTACATCAACTCCTTCAACATATACTGTATTTAACAACGACACAGGAATAACAACAACAACAACAACAGCAACACCAATAGTGCCTTCAGGTAGCTGTTGTGCAGTTCAGAATTGTACACAAAACTCTGATTGTTGTGGATCTAGTTCGATGGAATGCCAATGCTTTCGACATAACACAGCTGATGTTTATGGTTCATGTATTAATCCTTTTGTTACTCCAATGTGTGGCACAAGTTGTCCAGTACAAGGTAAATGTAAAACTGATTCAGATTGTTGCAAATGTCAATGTGTCGACATAAGTTTTACTGATGTGAATGAACAACTAATTACAAAGAAACAATGTGTACGACGTTAAAATCTTATCTTAACCCTTAGTTATGCTACTCTTTACCATTGCTTTTTTTGCTTCTTCTCTATTATGTTTTTTTTTATATTTTTAAATTTATCTATCATTCATATATTACCTTTTATTTCTGCTATTCAATATTTCATTTATTTTATCAATTATTAATTGACAGTAGAATATGATCGATATGTTCTATTACAGTTCTTGATTTTTATCTCGAATCTTTAAGTTGAATTAAACTAATATCAAATTTTTTTTCTGTTTTTTTCTTCTTTGCATATAATGTTGAAGTAACCTATTCAAGCATTATTTTGTTCTGTAATAAGTAGGAGAGAGAAAGAGAAGAAAAGATGAAATATGAATACATAGATTAACGATACAAAACATATTGACCCGAAAAATCGTTTAGATTTTTTAGTCCTGATTCAATATTGATTTAATACATATTAGACTTTATTATTGTAGAAATAAATATACACTATTCATACATTATAATATTGAATAAATATGAAAAAACGATCAAATTTTCATATGCACCCTATATTTGCATAATAGAAGTCAATATTTTCATTTTCTTCTTCTCAAACCAAGAAAATGACCATTTTCAGGCGTATAATATGGACTGAACTTGCCAAGTACAAGTCTCATTTCATCAACCAATCGACACCAATTTGACGTTAGAGTGCCGGCATGTAAATCAGCATTAGCTTCGATAAAAAGATCAGTGAGAAATTCTAATATAATTTTTCCACGCTCATTCATTGGCATACCCATCAATGACCCAAAAACAATATCTTTTCTTGTTTTGACACGTAATAATTTATAGTATCCTGTTTTATTTTTGTTTACTTGTTCAAATTCGTTGAATACATTATTATCTTCTGAATTAAT